ACTCTGACAGAGGTGGAGAGTTCTCCTCTGGCCTTCTGCGAGCCTACTGTCGTGCACGAGGCATCCGCCAGACCTTCACGCTTCCGGACTCTCCACAGCAAAATGGGATTGCTGAGCGCCGCATTGGCATGGTCATGGACGTCGCCCGTACGTCCATGATGCATGCGGCTGCCCCCCATTTTCTGTGGCCGTTTGCGGTTCGGTACGCGGCGCATCAGATCAACCTTCACCCCAGGGTCTCCATGCCGGAGACCTCCCCAGCTTTGCTGTGGACGGGGAAGGTTGGCGATGCGTCTGCGTTCCGTGTCTGGGGATCTCGGGCGTTTGTCCGCGACTTGTCTGCGGACAAGCTGTCCCCTCGTGCTGCTCCTTGCGTCTTCCTTGGCTTCCCCCCTGACGCGCCAGGGTGGCAGTTCTACCACCCCACCTCTTGCCGTGTTCTGTCCTCCCAGGACGTCACGTTTGACGAGTCGGTCCCCTACTACCGCCTCTTCCCCTACCGCACTCCGTCCCTCCCCCCGCCACCGCTCTTCCTTGTGCCAGGTCCCCCCCCGGTAGACCCCCTCCCCCCTCAGGGTCCTGCCCCTTCAGCTGTGTCCCAGGTAGACGCCGTCGAGCCTGTCGAGGTTACTGGTGACTCTGGTGCTGCTGAGGGTGCTGAGCCTGGGGGTGCTGACTCTGGGGGTGCTGAGCCTGAGGGTGCTACTACTGGGGGTGCTGAGCCTGGGGGTGCTGAGCCTGGGGGTGCTACTACTGGGGGTGCTGAGCCCGGGGGTGCTGAGCCTGGGGGTGCTACGCCTGGGGGTGCTGAGCCTGGGGGTGCTACGCCTGGAGGTGCTGAGCCTGGGGGTGCGGAGCCTGAGGGAGCTGGGCCTGCTCGTGTGGCGTCTGGCGGTGCTGAGCCTGGAGGTTCTCCGGGTGCTTCGCCTAGGCGGGAGCCACTCTCTCCACAGGAGCTGCGAGAGTGGTTTGCCCGGCGCTGGAGGCGTGCTGCTGGAGCTGGAGGTTCTTCGACTGCTGAGGGTGCTGGTGCCGCGGGTCCCGGAGGTGCTCGTACTGGGAGTACTGGAGCTGCTGGGCCTGCGGGTACGCCTGGAGCTGGAGCTGCTGAGGGTGTTGGCGCTGAGGCTCCTGCTGTCGGTCCTGGAGGCGGTCCTGCTGGGGGTGCTACTGGTGCTGCTGGAGGTACTGGAGCTGGAGGTGCTGCTGGCGCTGGTGCTGCCGCTGGGGGTACTGGTGCTGTCCCTGCTGTGTCTGGAGTCGCCGCGCGGCCTCGGCCGTACTTTGTTCCGCTCCTTCAGCAGGTTCTTGGTCTCCCGCCTTCTACTGGTCCTCCTCCTCCCTTAGAGTGTCCACAGCCTGTCCCGTCCCAGTTACAGTTACAGCCGGCCTCCACACTGCCCGCTCCTTCTCCCTACACTGGTCCTACTGGAGGTCTCGCTGAGCGTCGTGAGCCTGCGTCTCGCCCTGCGTCGCCTGTCCGTCTTGCTCGCACTAGTGGCCGTGGTTCGCGTCAGCGTCCTCCTCCTGTCCCTGGCACGCACCGGATGTCTCTGCGTCCGTCCATTGCTCCTCTCCGTGCCCCTTTGCCTTCTCCTCCTGAGTCCTCTCTTCCTGCTCTTCCCGACCCGGAGTCGGACTCTCTTCGTGCTGCCAGTCCTACTGTCACGCGTCTCCTTGCTACTGTCGTCACTGACCCTTCCTTTGAGTCCACTGCTGCGTCTGCCCTAGTTGCTGAGCTCGTCGACTTTGCTGCTCGCTGTCGTCTAGACTACGCTGCTAGTCTTGTCGTTGAGTCTGAGTCTGTCTGTCCTCCGTCCGTCGGGGGTGAGTGTGCCCTTGGCACGGACGTCCTTGAGGACAGGCAGGAGGAGTTCCAGTGTTTGGCTGCTGCTTCAACTCATCTCGTGTCCGTACTGCTTACCCCTGAGGGAGACCCGGATGCACTTGACATCCCGACTCCGCGCTCTTACGCGGAGGCGATAGAGGGTCCCTACTCCTCTCAGTGGCAGGCAGCTATGGACACAGAGATGGCTTCCTGGAAGTCCACAGGCACCTACGTTGACGAGGTTCCCCCGCCTGGGGCGAACATCGTCAGTGGCATGTGGATTTTCAGGGTGAAGCGACCGCCGGGTTCTCCGCCTGTCTTCAAGGCGCGTTACGTGGCTCGTGGCTTCAGTCAGCGGCAGGGAGTTGACTACTTTCAGACCTTCTCTCCCACCCCGAAGATGACCACTCTTCGGGCACTGCTGCACATAGCTGCTCACCGCGACTACGAGCTGCACTCTCTTGACTTTAGCACTGCTTTCTTGCAGGGCAGCCTGCACGAGGAGATCTGGCTGCGTCGCCCACCTGGCTTCACTGGGTCTTTTCCTCCTGGCACCCAGTGGAGCCTCCGGCGGCCAGTCTACGGTCTCCGCCAGGCACCGCGTGAGTGGCACGACACACTGAGGACTACACTTGCGGCTCTTGGGTTTGCTCCCTCTACTGCCGACCCGTCGCTGTTTCTGCGCACCGACACTTCTTTGCCGCCGTTCTACATCCTCGTGTACGTCGACGACTTGGTCTTTGCCACAGCTGACACTGCTGGACTCGCCCACGTGAAGTCCGAGCTGCAGAAGAGACACACGTGCACAGACCTGGGTGAACTGCGCAGCTACCTTGGCTTGCAGATCACCCGGGACAAAGCACGCCGCACCATTACCCTGACTCAGTCACACATGGTGCAGCAGGTCCTTCAGCGCTTCGGCTTCACGTACTCCTCGCCTCAGGCCACTCCTCTGCCTACTCGCCACTCGCTCTCAGCTCTGCCTTCGGATGAGTCCGTAGAGTCGAGTGGCCCGTACCCAGAGCTTGTTGGCTGCCTCATGTACCTGATGACCTGCACACGACCTGACCTCGCATACCCTCTTAGCATTCTCGCACGCTATGTTGCTCCTGGGAGACACAGACCGGAGCACATGGCTGCAGCGAAGAGGGTGTTGCGTTACTTGTGCAGTACGTCGGGCATGGGGCTTGTGCTTGGAGGGCAGAGTCCAGTGGTCCTCACTGGGCACGCAGACGCTTCTTGGGCTGACGACCAGGCTACGCAGCGGTCGTCACAGGGTTACACCTTCAGCCTTGGTTCCGGCTCTGTTTCGTGGCGAGCTACCCGCTCGTCTTCTGTTCTCAGCTCCAGTTGTGAGGCTGAGATCTACGCCGGGGCCATGGCTGCACAGGAGCTTCGCTGGCTCAGCTACCTGCTGACTGACCTCGGAGAGCCGCCTCGTTCTCCTCCAGTGCTGTACGTAGACAACAAGGCCATGCTGGCCTTGTGTCGAGAGCAGAGACTGGAGCACAGAACGAAGCACATTGCTCTCCGCTACTTCCTTGCTCGTGAGCTACAGCAGCGTGGTCAGCTGCGGCTTGCGTACGTGGCCTCTCAGGCCAACACTGCTGATATCTTCACCAAGGCACTTGCGCCTTGTGATCATCAGCGCTTCTGTACTCAGCTGGGTCTTGTGCCTACCTTGCCTCACTTGCTCACCCCTTGACCTTGTTTGTACTGTTGCATATATATATACACCTGCTCTTGCTTGTCTAGCCTTATATATATATATGTAATCCTGCATGTGAACTGGCCTTGTGGCCTTGACCTTGTGCTCGGAATGTGTGGTGACTTTGTGATCCACCCTGAGCTTGCTTTGCTTTGCTTGACTGGTCTTGTGACCCCTTGTTCTCCCCCACTTTGCCTATGGGGGTGTGTCAGATTTATATGACATAGCTACTGTAGGCTATAGTGGGGTAGCACATATGGGGTACAGTTTTCTAGGGTTTACATTTGTACCCAACTTTCCCTTAGTCATTTTTCATTCCTCGTTTCTTCTCATCACCAGACCCTGACGGCGTGGAACATCCTGAGAATCAAACAACTGGTTCGGACTGTCACCGCTCTGCGCCATAAACCGGAAACACAAATTTACTATGAACAACGCCGGACTTGGCACCTGTCGTTCGCATGACTGAACAGTCACAAACAGCGAGGCCTACAAACTCGTTTGTCATGCGCCGATGTCGCAAGCAAACTCCCACTTTTGTGATCACAACAATTGGGATACCCGTCGCGACCCTGCTTGGTACCGCCTACTCCCATATAGACTATGAAATAGGTGAGGGCGTGGTGTATCGAGCTCAGAAGGTTTTAAGTGGGTGCGAATGTGGAGTTACGAACGCCCCAGCAACAATCCAACTCGACATAACGGGCGAACCAAACACATCCTCGTTATAAAGTGTTTGATTGCATTAGGATGGCTTAAGGAAGGTTTAGATTCCTTACATGTAACCACAAATACCTCCACCCTGAAATGGAAGAGGCTTCACCAATCACCACCAGCCCCTCAGCACTGACTGATGTCACCCGTCCCTCACTCCACACTAGGTACAGTATTTTCAATGCTCGTTGGCCCTGTGGTGCCAGCTTGCATTCTCGTCCCGCGTCGTCTTTCCGAGGCGCACCGCGCCCTGGTGGGTGGCATGGCATGACAGCGCCAGGGTGTTTCAGCAGCTGCGAAAACTCGCGAGATTACTAGCTCTTACCGAATCATACGAGCGAATATTCTCATCAAGTAACCGTTTCGCGCAACATCTTCCTGCTTCTTGATTGCTCATCTCGTTCGGGCAGATGCCAACAGAACAAGGCCATTTTCTTGCTTTCGACTTTTCCTTGTCTTGATTTCTTTCTGTTTCTTTCAGAGCTAAGCTCATCCTCCTAATTTGAGCTCACATGCAAGCATCCCACTTGAATGTGACCGTTTGGATTCTTTTTCGTTAGCTTTACGAGTTCCAGTTCCTTTTTGTTCCGATCGATGGCCTTAGGCTTGTCACGGCATGGATATTCCTCCAGATCCTCAGCGCACGCGAAGGGTTCGTCTTTAATTACTTGGGTAATAAAGTGGCTACCTTTAGTTCTCCTACTATGGATATTCCTTGCGTGGACAGCGCCGCACCACATACTCTCGCACATGTTCGGTATCACCTACGCCACGCCAGCTTCTATCGCGTACGCGGAAGCCGAATCAGCGGCTGCGGCGGCGGCGATTGCGCAGGAGGATCGCGGAAGAGGAGACGATGAGATAGGAGAGCACGGAAGATTGGAAGGCGGCAGGGGTCTAGAGGAACGGAGAGCGGAAGGCGGGAATGGTGACGACGAGCCTCCCTTGGAATTGCCGCTCCGAGTGTACCTTTATCCGCTGCCCGCCGCCTTTAACTTCGGACTACTCCAGGCAAGCCCCCCGCATCCCACGCATACCTTCCTCAATGCCAAGTATTCCTCGCATTCCGCACTCCTCCGCATTCCCCGACATCCCCAGGTTCCCCCCATGCCCCGCTTCCCCGCATACCCCCACATCCCCCGCCTCTCCGGCCCCTTCCGCCTTGTGAGCCGCTCCTGGCCAACCCTCTCACCCTGCCGGCTCATGTCCCTCACTTCCCCAACGGTCCTTCCTCGCTCGTTTCGCCTCATATTCTTCCTGGCTTCTTTTGCGCTCCTGCATTCTCTCCCACGCTTTGCTCGCTATCAACCTGTGCCCTCACGAGACAGCCAGGTGTAGAGTAAACATTCTGGTATCCCAAGTACGCTGTATCTTCTGTATCTGTCTTGCACTTATGAGAAAATGATGAAGGCCAATGAAAAGGAGAAACGGAATGGACGTGGTGCCAATAGCTGGGGGGGGATTCCCTGCATGAATGGCGAGAGAATGCGATTCTGTTGCCACCCCTTATCACATGTCTTCTTTACACACTCTTCATGTCTTAATAGCATAGCATACGCTGTCACAACTCGCAACCAACCCCTTACGCCCAATCTCGCGATCCCACTCCCTCCAGGCGCAGTGGAATGTGGGGTGTCGTCTCGACATTCTCGCACGCCACGGCGTGCCTCCCTCGTGGAACTTCAACGCCTCTTCCTCCTCCTCCGCCTCCTCCGCCTCCTCCTCCTCCTCTTCCTCCTCTTCCTCGTCGCTCGTCGCGTCAGCAGACGACGATGCTGACGGGGACGGCGACAACTCGCTAGACCAAGCCGCAGCCGCCACATTCAGGGCAGAAGAAGCAGAAGCAGTAGCAGTAGCAGCAGATGGGGAAAGAGTAGCGGCGGGCGAAGGCGACATCGACGCCATGAAGGGCGTGCATCTGCCGATGCTGGAGCAGACGGACGGGCTGGCGAGGCTGTCAGGGTGGTCCGAGGAGGCGGTGGCGGTGGCGGTGCCGTGCTACCACAACTTCCCCTACTACTGGCAGCACAGCGTCGAGTACTACATGACTCTCTCCCTGCTCTTCGGTGCGTCCCTCCCTGTGTGCCTGGGTGGGTGGGTGGCTGGGTGGATAGTTGGATGGGTGGGTGGGTTGGGTAGGTAGGTGGGTGGGTAGAGTGGTGGCATGTTGGCATGGTGGGTTGGTGGGTGGAATGGTGAATGCTGGGTGGGAGACAGATGCGGTGAGTGGGTTTGTGAGCCCCTTGACCAGCAAGAAAGATATCTTGTTCATGAGCAGGAAGGAACGAGCAGGCTTGTTGCCTACAAAGCAGTGAGAATGTAGCGACTTACCTCTCTCATACATGGATTGCCTTAACCACATGATACACCCACATGCTGCCACGTCCATTCCCCACTCCCTTAAACCCAGCCCCCAGCCCCCAGCCCCCAGCCCCCACCCCTCATCCCCCATCCCCTATCCCCCTTCTCCCCCACTCATCCCCCATCCCTTCCCCACCCCCCATCCCCAATCCCGCCATCCCCCACTCCCCACCCCCCTCCCCCCCATGCGCGGTGGGCGTGCCTCAGGGTCGGAGGCGGTGGTGCGGGTGGAGGAGCCGTCACACGCGGACGTGGTGTTCCTGCCCTACTTCTCCACGCTCGCCTTCCGCCTCAAGGCCAGGTAGGAACCTACTTGCAGGGTCAGGTCAGGCAGGGCTCGGAGAAGATCCACACGCGCACCTTCCTCGTCTCCTCACCAGATTGCACTTGGATTCCCCTCACTCGGCATGATCACACTGTCCGCTTCCCTAACTGTACCTGACTGTACCTAATTGTACCTAACTGTAACTAAACTGTACGTCCGTCCTCCCGTGTCACCCTTTCTCCCCCCTCCCACCACAGTGCGCGGCTGAACGCGCAGCTACTGCCAGTGCTACCGCGCATGGCCACTCATCCGCTGCTCATGCCCGCCGTGTACCCGGTCACATTCGCCAATGCTTCCCGGGACCTGCTGCAGCCCGTGAGGAAGCTGGCTGTGGACCTCGACATGTACCCGCCCATGGTGTGTAGTGTGGGGGGGGGGGGGGGAGGGGGTAAATGGGGAGGGGTGGGTGAGAGGTGGGGGGGACTTCGAGGCACCTTGAAAGGCCTTTCGTGCCCTGCTGCAGCCCGTCAGGAAGCTGGCTGTGGACCTCGACATGTACCCGCCCATGGCACGTGTGGTTACGTGCGTGCGGGCGGGCGGGCGGGCGGACGGGCAGGCATGTGTGCGTGGTTGCGCACCTATGTGTGTGTGCGGGAGGGGCGGGAACTGAGGAATTCTGCGAGGGGTTGCGTGGGTGGAGGGAGGAGGGGGGGGAGGAAAGGGAGGTTGTGTATGCATCTGTTTGCTTGCAAACCTTTTTTCACCTTATAATACCTCACAACCCGGACACTGAACAACTGTGAATCCCAAACCTTAATCCCTTTGCCACAACCCTGAACCCTACACTACACCAGATGCTGTAAACCCTGCTCTCACCACACACCCACACATGATGCAATGCAAGTAACCACGATACACGGCAAAACCTAAACCTGGAACCTTAAACCCTAAATGCTAGACAAGAACTTGTTGGTTTGAGGTCTCAGAGAGGAATCATGACAAGTGGTTGTAAACCCTAACCCTCGTCCTTCCTTTAAGCACCCCCACCACCACCATCCTTCCCCGTCAACCCCACTTGTGTATGGTGGAGGGGGATAGAAGGGCGGACACTCGGGTACGGGATAGGGCAGGCGAATGAGGGGTTTGGGCACTCGCTTAGAGTGCAATGTAAGCACACCTCTCTCAGGGTGCATTGAAAGCACACCTCTCTCAGGGTGCATTGAAAGCACACCTCTCTCAGGGTGCATTGAAAGCACGCTGCACAAGATGGCTCTGATTCGACTCAGAAGCCATCCTCCTCTCCCCATCCCCCTTTCCCTTGCTTCCCCACCACCAGACGCACACCCACACTGATCCACGTGCTCGTGATGGTGTTGCTGGTCACCTCAAAACCCAGTCCTCACCTTTCCCCCTCTCCCCATCCCACCATACCCTCGTCCTCCACCCCTCCCCCTCTCCCCCTTCCCTCCCTCCCACCACAGGACGCAGACCCACTGATCGATGTGGTGGTGCCGTGCGCTGCCCTGGTGCCCGCTTGCTTCGATGACCCATGTGCTTAGCTGCAGCGTTCCCCCGTCCCCGTGTTCCCCGCTCTCCTTTTTTCCCCATCCCCGCTCCACCCCCCCACCACAGGACGCGGACCCACTGATTGATGTGGTGGTGCCGTACGCTGCTCTGGTGCCCGCTTACGCTGATGACCCGGGGTCGTGGCAGCAGCGCCCCACGCTGCTCTACTTCCGTGGCAACAAGTGGCGCGCTGGCCATGCTGAGGTGCGCGGGAGAGGGAGTAGGGAGGGCGGGAGAGACGGACGGAGGGAGGGATGGGGGGGGACTTGAAGGCGGAGGGACGGAGGGAGGGAGGGAGTGAGCGAGGGAGCTTGAGTAGCCGCGTTCATGGTGGCTGGGTTGATCCAAGGCATCTTGAACCAATCCTCGACCTCCTTTTCCCCACACTCTCCTTCGCACCCCTCCGCCTCCCCTCCACTCTCACCCCCGCAGGGCCAGGCAGTGCGGAGGGCGCTAGCAGAGGTGCTGGTGGGGCAGAGGGGCGTGGTGTTTGAGGCAGCACTGGCGAGCGATGAGGATAATATCATGGGGGCTGCGGGGGGCCTCCGGCGAGCCAAGTACTGCCTCTCCCCTGAAGGTGAGCAAGAAAGAACGCAAGGTGTTTGTGACATGGTTGAGATGTTTGGCATGTTTGCCACCCCCAACGCAAACCATCCCCAGCCACTCTTCCCCTCTCCCTCTCCTCTTCCCCCTCTCACACCACCATCCCATAACAAACCTGCTTGTTCCCACCTCGCCGTTTCCCTATGCCCCTGCCTCTCCCCCCTCCTGCTCCCCCCTCCCGCTCCCCATCCCGCTCCCCATCCCCCTCCCCACCCCCGCCCAGGTGACACCTCGTCCAGCTGTCGCCTGTACGACAGCATCCTATCGGGGTGCATCCCAGTGGTGGTATCAGACAGCATCGAGCTGCCCTTCGAGGACGCCTTAGACTACTCCTCCTTCGCCCTCTTCGTCCCCACCGCCCTCGCTCTCCGCCCCGGCCACCTGCTTGAGCTGCTTCAGGGGCAGAGCCGCGCACAGTGGCAGCGCAGATGGTCCAACATGCGCCGGGTGAGAAGGGAGGGGGTGGGAGGAGTGGGGAACGGTGCGGTGGGGTTGGGTGGGAGGGGTGGGGTGGGGTGCGGCGGAGTGGAGTGGGGTTAAGAGCGGCGGGGTTGTGCTGGCCCTGCTGCATGGGCAGAGCCGCGCACAGTGGCAGCGCAGATGGTCCAACATGCGCCGGGTGAGAAGGGAGGGGGTGGGAGGAGTGGGGAACGGTGCGGTGGGGTTGGGTGGGATGGGGTGGGGTGGGGTGCGGCAGAGTGGAGTGGGGTTAAGAGCGGCGGGGTTGTGCTGGCCCTGCTGCATGGGCAGCGCAGATGGTCCAACATGCGCCGGGTGAGAGAGGAGGGAGTGGGAGGAGGAGATGGTGCGGTGCGGTGGGGTGAGGTCGGGTGGGTGGGGTTGTGCGGGAGGATGGGTGGGATGGGCATGGTGGGGGTTTGAGAAGGGCGGGTGGTAGTTCTGGGCGGGCAAGGAAAAACATTATTACTGCTTATAATCTACACTTTCTCACTCGACTCATTTTCCTCCCTACTTCCTCATACCTATCCCATGGGTTTCTTCCCCCCCACTCATAAACAGCCATCCTTTGTTCCACCCCTTCTGACCCCCTCTTTCTTCCAATCTCCCCAAACCCCCTCCATTGCCCTCCCCACACCCCTCCCCCCTAAATCTCTGCGGCCCTAACACTTAACAACTGCATCACCTTTTGAGGCCCTCTAAAGTCGTACCACCCCTCATCCTTCTCCCCATCTCCGCCTCCCCGGCCCCCCTTCTCCCTGTCATCCCAGCTGCGCAAGCACTTCGAGTTCTCATCACTGCCCGAGCCGGGGGGAGCGGAGGACACAGTGTGGAGAGCAGTGTCAAGGCGCATGAGGGGCAGCACGGGGAGTGCAGGGGCGCAGCGCAACAGGCGGCAGCGCCTGCGGCTGCTGCTGCGGCAGCTGGCACACTACGGGCTGAATGCCTCGCACCTGCAGCAGCCAGTGCACTTGCGCCCACCTGTGCACTTGTAGCGTGATTCTGACTGAGTCGTTGCCTCTAGGATGCGGCAGCTGGCACACCACGGGCTGAATGCCTCTCACCTGCAGCAGCCCGTGCACGTGCGCCTGCCCGTGCACTTGTAGCGTTCAGTGGTGTAGCGTGCTCCTAAGCCGCCTCTAGGTTGTGCGTGTGCCTGCCTGCCGGTGCTCCTGTAGTGTGCGTGTGGGAGGCACGCGGGGAGGAGGAAAGGAAGGGTAGGAGGCGGAGCGGAGGAGGTGAGATGGAATGGCGTCGTGGGAGAGGTGGGGATGGAGAGAGGAATAATTGTGGAGTATGGGGCTTTTTGTGCTAGCTTTGGTGCACTTCTGGTGACTGCTAGCCGTAAATTGTACCTAGGTCCCATAAGATTTTGCACACTGCATTTCTAGCACATACGGCTCTCACTGTACCTAGTATGTGATGTGCTGCTGCCACCATGTGGAGGTATCGACAAGCACCGCACTGTACTGCACAACACTGCACTGCAGTTCAAGCTTCACTGGAATGAGGTTCACAAATCATGGATGGATGGAAGCCGCCCTCCACCAACCGGTAAGCCTTTCAACGGAACAGCATTATGCAGAACGCACGTACGTTCAACGGACCACGTCAGGAGAACGTGGTGTCAAGAGAGTGCCTGCCCGCCCGCCATGTATGGTACCATTACACTTGGGAGGAACTTGGAAGCACGTTATACTATACTACCCCTGCATTTGTCACTAGGACCTTGAACGAACTGTCAAATTGCATTTGTTATCTCTAGGCTGTAGTGGGGCATACTCTAAGGAGTACAACACCTTAGGTCATTCCTAGTACTTGTACTAACTCTTCCCTACTAGTCAATCACTTCCTACGTTATATTTTTGACATGTATTCAGAGCAGGTCCCTCCGTAGGACCGCTCCGTTAGGGCCCACCAACCGTACGTACTGCCCCAGGAGTTGCTCCAGTCGCGCGCTGCACTGCTCGCCGCGCGCGCGCTCTGCCCTGCCCAGTACGCCGTCGCGCTGCTGCCCTGCCCTGCCCAGCGCTATCGCGCTGCCCTGCCCCGCGCTGCCCGCCGCGCGCTGCCCCGCTGCCGCGCGTGCTGCGGTGCTGCCCGTACTGCCCTGCTCGCCGCGCGCGACCTGCGCCGCACACGCGCACAGCTTGCGCCCTCCCCGCACGCGCGCTGCCCACGCGTGCTCTGCCCGCACGCACGCTGCCTACGCGCGCCCTGCCTGCAAGCGCGCTGCCTACGTGCGCCCTGCCCGCACGCGCGCTGCTTACGCGCGCCCTGCCCTGCTGCCCCCGCCCCGCTGCCCTGCAGTCCGCGCGCCGCCCTGCCCTGCAGCCCGCGCGCCGCCCTGCCCTACAGCCCGCGCGCTGCCCTGCCCTGCAGTCCGCGCGCCGCCCTGCCCTGCAGCCCGCGCGCTGCCCTGCCCTGCTGCCCGCACACTGCCCTGCCCTGCAGCCTGCGCGCCGCCCTGCCCTGCAGCCCGCACGCCGCCCTGCCCTGCAGCCTGCGCGCTGCACTGCCCTGCTGCCCGCACACCCTGCAGCCCGCGCGCTGCCCTGCCCGTGTAGCCCTGCAGCCCGCGCGCCGCCCTGCCCTGCAGATCGCGCGCTGCCCTGCACTGCAGCCTGCGCGCTGCCCTGCCCTGCAGCCTGTGCGCTGCCCTGCCACTACAGCGACTACCGCTACTGCTACAGCTGCAACTACAGCGGTCACTTCTGACGCCCTTGTGCCGCTGCTACTGACTGCCACTGCATGTCATGGCCACTATAACAGTCGTAGCAGCGTCTGGCGGTGGACAGCAGCAGCTATGTCAGCCGGAGACTCTATCGCCGCAGCAGCTTCGCGAGTGGGTTGTTCGGCGAGGCCGCTCTGGTCCTGGAGCTTGGGATTTCACGCGTAATGGTATTACTGGACAGCAGCGGCAGTCTCGTCGCCAGGAGACTCTCTCGCCACAGCAGCTTCGTGAGTGGGTTATTCAGCGAGGCCGTCCTGGTGGTGGAGGTTATGGTGCTGGAGGTACTGGACAGCAACGTCAGCAGGAGACCCTCTCACCGCAGCAGCTTCGCGAGTGGGTTTCTCAACGACGCATCCCTGGTAATGCAGAGGCTACTAGTGTAGGTGCCTGTGAGCCTGGTAGCACAGGTGCAATTTCTGTAGAGGCTTTGCACACCTTCACGCTTAACTCAGGCGCGACTCGCTGCTTTTTCCGCGACTGCACCACAGTCACACCGCTCACTACACCTGTCCCGGTCTCTCTAGCTGACCCCTCTGGGGGCCCAGTTGTAGCACGTGCCTCCACAGTTCTCCCGTATCCAGCAGCCCCCTCAGGCTCCCTCACAGGTTTCCACCTCCCCTCGTTCTCTAAGAACTTGGTGAGTAACGCTGTCCTCCAGGACCAGTTTGTCACTGTGACTACTCCTGGGGGTGAGATTGTGGCGATCTGTACGGACTCACGCACTGGCGAGCACCTCGCCACGTTCACTCGGAGGCCTGGGTCTGCCCTGTACACACTGACCACTGAGTCTGCACAGGTGGCTGCGTCAGGTTAGGTGGATGAGTCAGGTCAATTAGCTGCGTCTTGTTCGTGTCGGCTACTCTCGCACCACACTCTCCTCTGGCACCACCGTCATGGTCACCCCTCCCTGCCGCGCCTTCGTGGCATGCACTCTCGTCTCCTTGTCTCTGGCCTCCCCAGGTCCCTGCCCCCGCTCCCGCGCTCGCTTGCACCGCCGTGCCTTCCGTGCGTCAAGGGGCGGCATCGCGCCGCTCCTCACTCCTCCTCGTTTCCACCGACCACTGCTCCTTTGCAGACTCTCCACATGGACGTGTGGGGCCCAGCCCGCGTCCGTGGACAGGACCCGGAACGCTACTTTCTGCTGGTTGTTGACGGCTACACGCGCTACACCACGGTCTTCCCCTTGCAGAGCAAGGCGTATGTCTGCGGTGCTTTGATCGACTGGATCATCGCTGTTCGTCGTCACCTGAGCGTGTGGTTTCAGCAGGACCTCCAGGTCCCGCGACTACAATCTGACAGAGGTGGTGAGTTTTCCTCCGGCCTCCTTCGGGACTTTTGTCGTGCGGAGGGCATCCCCCAGTCCTTCACGCTTCCGGCCTCTCCACAGCAGAACGGGATTGCTGAGCGTCGCATTGGCTTGGTCATGGAGGTTGCTCGCACCTCCATGATCCATGCGGCTGCTCCCCATTTTCCGTGGCCGCGCATTAGCTCAACCTCTGGCCCCGTGTCTCTGTGCCAGAGACCTCGCCTACACTGCGTTGGACGGGGGAGGTTGGCGATGCGTCGGCGTTTCGGGTCTAGGGCGGGCTCTCCCTTGTCCGCGATACCACCGCGGGCAAGCTCTCTCCTCGCACTCTCCGCTTCGTCTTCCTTGGCTTCCCCACCGACGCCCCGCCCTGGCCGTTTTACCACCCTGCCTCGCGCCGCGTCCTGTCCTCACAGGACGTCACCTTTGGCGAGTCGGTCTGCTTCTACCGTCTCCACCCGCACGTGTCTTCCCCACTCTCCCCGCCGCCCCTCTTCTTGGTCCCAGGTCCCCCCCCGGTAGACCCCCTCCCCCGACAGGGTCATGCTCCTTCAGGTGTGTCTCAGGTCGACCCACCCCCCTTGGTTGAGCCTTTGGAGGTCTCCTCTGACACCTCTGGCCCAGCTGAGGGGGGTGACCCCGCCGCTGACGACACGGCGGCCACTCGCCGCTCCCCGCGCTTGGAGTCCCCTCCTGGTTTTCCGCCTCGGCCGTCTTCGCCGCCTCCGCAGCCTGTCACTGTGGACTCTGGTGCTGCTGGGGGTGGTGACCCTGAGGGTGCGCACTCTGGGGGTGCTGGACCGCGGGTTGCTGAGTTTGGGGGTGTTGACTCCAAGGGTGCCGGTTCTGGGGGTACTGACACTGGGGGTGCTGCGAGTCCTAGTGGTGGTGGAGTCGTGGGTGCTAGTTCTGGGGGTTCTGGCGTTGGACAGCAGCAGCAGTCTCGTAGATAGGAGACCCTCTCGCCACAGCAACTTCGCGACCGGGTGTTCGGCAAGGCAGTCTGGTGGTGGAGGCTATGGTGCTGAAGGTGCTGGAGGTCCTGGAGCTGCTGGTGCTGGAGGTACTAGAGCTGGAGGTACTGGAGGTACTGGAGCTGCTAATACTGGAGGTACTGGAGCTGCTGGTGCTGGAGGTGCTAGAGCTGGAGGTGCTGGAGGTACTTGAGCTGCTGGTGCTGGAGGTGCTAGAGCTGGAGGTGCTGGAGTTACTGGAGCTGCTGGTGCTGAAGGTGCTAGAGCTGGAGGTACTGGGGGTACTGGAGCTGCTAGTGCTGGAGGTGCTAGAGCCGGAGGTGCTAGAGCCGGAGGTGCTGGAGGTACTGGGGCTGCTGGTGCTGGAGGTGCTAGCGCTGGAGGTGCTGGAGGTACTGGAGCTGCTGGTGTTGGAGGTACTAGAGCTGGAGATGCTGGAGGTACTGGAGCTGTTTGTGCTGGAGGTGCTAGAACTGCTGTTGCTGAAGGTGCTGGAGGTGTTGGTGCTGGAGGTGCTAGAGCTGGAGGTGCTGGAGGTGCTGGAGGTGCTGGAGGTGCTGGAGCTGGAGGTGCTAGTGCTGGAGGTACTGGAGCTGATGGTGATGGATGTGCTGGAGCGGGAGGTGCTGAAGGTACTGGAGCTGCTGGTGCTGGATATGCTGGAGCTGCTGGTGCTGGAGGTGGTAGAGGTGGAAGTGCTGGAGGTACTGGAGCTGCTGGTGCTGGAGGTGCTGAAGCTGCTGGTGCTGGAGGTGCTAGAGCTGGAGGTACTGGAGGTACTAGAGCTGCTGGTGCTGGAGGTACTAGAGCTGGAGGTGCTGGAGGTACTGGAGCTGGAGGTATTGGAGGTGCTGGAGCTGTTGGTTCTGGAGGTACTGAAGGTGCTAGAGGTGCTGGAGCTGTTGACGGTACGGGCACAGCGCCGCGTCGACTGTTTTTCTACCCACAACCGCAGTCGTCCCTACCACCACCTGACTCGGC